ACACTTGCTAAGATAATACTGATTTTGGCAGATGACATACATTCTAAGAAGTTAAGGGGTGGGTGGGTGGGGCTAGTACTTGCCAAGACAATACTGATTTTGGCAGATGACATACACTCTAAGAAAATAAAGGGCGGGTGGGTGGGGCTGGCATCTGGTAAGATAATACTGAATTTGGCAGATGACATACATTCTAAGAAAATTAAGGGCGGGTGGGTGGGGCTAGTATGTACTTGCTAAGATAGACTTATTTTGGAAAATGATATATCCTCTAAGAAAACAAAGGGTGGACAGGTGGGGCTAACACTAACTAGGACATATCATTTGTTAAAATCAGTCTACCTTAGCAGGTGCTAACACAGCCTACCCGACATTTATTTTCTTAGAGGATGTCATTTGCCAAAATCAGTTTAATCTTAGCAAGTAGTAGCTTCGCCCACCCGCCCTTTATTTTCTTAGAAGATATATCATTTGCCAAATTTAGTCTATCTTGGCAAGTACTTTTTTTGCAGTTTAGTCTCATACAAATGATTAAGAAAGAATCTCAGGGAAGCTGTTTAGGTTTATTATAATAACAAATCTCTAGATTTATTATTAAAAAAAAATCAAATTGTGAAATGCGAGCATAGAGAGCAGATTCAAGATTCACCACTTTCAGACAATGAAAAAGGTTGGTTGGGCGGGACTAGTCCTTGCTAAGATAAGTCTGATTTTGGCAGTTAAAATACCTTCTAGAAAAATAAAGAGAGGGTGGGCGGGGCTAGTATTTGTTAAGATATTAGTAGTAGTCACTAAAATGAAAAGGGTGAGGAGCGCTACTTTTTTTGTTAGAAGTTATTTTATTCGCCAAAATCAACCTTATCTTAGCAAGTATTAGCCCCGCCCACCCACCCTCTATTTTTTTTTTGAGGATATATTATCTGCTAAAATCAGTCTTATCTTAACAACTACAAGCCCCGCCCACCCTCCCTCTATTTTTTGGAGGATATATCATTTGCCAAAATCAATGTTATCCTAGGAAGTACCTTAATTTTTTTAGAGAGTATTTCATTTGCTAAGATCAGTCTTATCTTAGCAGGTACTGCCTCGCCCACCTGTTTTAAACAAAAAATTATAATTATTATTGTGTATTTACAAAGAAAATTTGAAAAATTGTAAATTAAAAATTGAAGAAACGAAAAATTAAGAAACTTAAAAGTTCAAAAATCGAAAAGTTGAAAACCGAAAAACAGCAAATCGAAACCTTGAAAAATCCAAAAACTGAAAAATTTCGCAATGAAAAAGGAAAAATTATAAAATCAGGACACTGAAAAAGCGAAAAATTGAAAAAATTAAGAAAAAAAAAATTGATGAAATCTCGAGTTGCATATTGTAACACTGAATAAACAAACAAACAAAAAAAAAAAAAAAAACGCAAAACTGAAAAATTAAGATTTAAAAATAAAGTAATAAAATTAAAATTTTTAAAATAGAATAATTGAAAGGAGTGTTATTTACTGGTTTTTACTTTATAGAAGTTATCAGAAAACAAATATCACAAAAACTTTTTTACACTTTTTGAAAGAAACGGGATTTCTTGTGCCGAAGGAAATTCTGTAGACCAATTTTTTTACTACATAATCTGTTCTTCTTTCAGCTTTATACTCATAGAAGTCTACAGGAAAGAATCTCAGCGAAGTTGTTTGGAATAAATTTTTAGAATTTCCAAAAGTACATTTAAATTGCTAGTCTTCCCAATTTCAGCAGATGATCACAAACATTTTCAGGATTCATCTTTTTTACATGATAATAAATTCAGCTTCTCGGGGACATTAAAAGTAATTGTTTATAACACGGAAACGTGCTCGCTGCGCTCGCATTCTTAACGTTTTTTTCCACAATAATGAATATTCGGTGTGACTACTTAGTTCGTTTTATTATAATAATTCTATAGACGTTAAATTATTGTGAAAAAATCAACTTGAGGAGTACAAGTGCGCTAAGGAAATGTGAATTGGCATTGTCGCTTTTTTTTTTCTTAGAGTGTTAATTTGTCAAAATTAGTCTCATCTTGACAGGTACTAGCCCCATCCACCCGCCCTTTATTTTCCTAAATAACCTCTTCTAAGAAAATAAAGGGAGGGTGGGCGATCCTAGCATTTGTTAAGATAGACTGATTTTGGCAAATGACATGTCCTTTAAGAAAATAAAGGGCGGGTGGGCGGGGCTAGCACTGGCTAAGATAATACTGATTTTGGCAGATGACATACACTCTAAAACAATAAAGGGCGGGTGGGCGAGGCTAGCACTTGCTCAGATGACTGATTTTGGCAGATTACATACATTCTAAGAAAATAAAGGGCGGGTGGGTGGGCCTAACACTTGCTAAGATAATACTGATTTTGGCAGATGACATACATTCTAAGAAGTTAAGAGGTGGGTGGGTGGGGCTAGTACTTGCTAAGATAGACTTATTTTGGCAAATGATATATCCTCTAAGAAAATAAAGGGTGGACAGGTGGGACTAACACTAACTAGGATATATCATTTGCTAAAATCAGTCTATCTTAGCAAGTGCTAGCACCGCCCACCAGACCTTTATTTTCTTCGAGGATGTCATATGCCAAAATCAGTTTTATCTTAGCAAGAAGTAGCCCCGCCCACCCACCCTTTATTTTCTTAGAAAATATATCATTTGTCAAATTATTCTATCTTGCCAGGTACTTTTTTGCAGTTTAGTCTCATACAAATGATTAAAAAAGAATCTCAGGGAAGCGCTATAGGTTTGTTGTAATAACAAATCTCTAGACTTATCATTTAAAAAAAATCAACATGTGAAATGCGAGCGCAGAGAGTACGTTCAGGTCGCTGGGGTCTCCGACTTTAATCTTCATACAAATTTCAAGATTCACCATTTTCAGACAATGAAAAACGCTCTCATTAATGGTAATTTAAATTCCCAGGGACACCGACCAATAATAATAATTATTAATAACATCTAAATGTGCTAGCTGCTCTCCCATTCTGAATGTTCATCTTTTAATTAATTTAGTGTGACAAACATATTTACCAATGAACAAGGTTACTTGGTTTTTATTATAATAATAACAATTCTCGACATATCCCTATCAAGGTAAATTACTCTGAAAAAATCAACCCCTAAAATGCGAGCGTAGCGAGCACGTTTAAGATGTTTCAGTCCGCACACATTAGTGTTCACAAACAATCTTTCAACTCACATTTTTAAAAAACAACAAAAGCGTTCTTAATAATTTAGCTTCTCAGGGATACCAATTAATAATTTTTTAATTTACACCTGAACGTGCTCGCTGCGCTCGCATTTTAAACTTCTTTTTTCACGTCTGCAGGAAAGAGTCTCAGTGAAGTTGTTTGGAATAAATTTCTAGACTTTAAAAAAGCACGTTTAAATTGAAATTTTCAGGATTCATTATTTAAATAATAAAAAATTCTCTCATTAATAATTCCGCTGCTCGGGGGCATTAACGAGTAATTTTTAATAACACTTAAACGTCCTCGCTGCGCTGACATTCTTGATGTTTTTTTCTAAAAGAATGAATCGTCGGTATCGCTACTTAGTTTGTTTTATTATAATAATTCTAAATTATTGCGAAAAAATCAACTTGAGGAGTACAAGTGCAGTAAGCACATGTGAATTGGGGGACTCCCCTTGTTTCCTCATGTTCAGTTATCAAAATTAGTATCATCTTGACAGGTACTAGAGTCTATGTCATCTGCCAAAATTAGTATATCTTAGCAAGTACTTCTTTTTGCAGTTTAGTCTCATATAAATACTTAATACAGAATCTCAGCGCAGCCGTTTAGGTTTGTTGTAATAACAAATCTCCACACTTATCTTTAAAAAAAAATCAACATATAAATTGCGAGCGCAGAGAGCACGTTCAGGTTGCTGGAGTCTCTACGGCTGACTAACACCTAAATGTACTTCGCTGCTCTCCCATTCTGAATGTTCTTTTTTAATTTATTTAGTGTCACAAAAACATTTACCAATCAACAAGGGTACTTAGTTTTTAATATAATAATTCTCGACATATCCCTATGAAGGTAAATTATTTTGAAAAAATGCTAAGATAGACTGAATTTGGCAAATGACATATCCTTTGAGAAAATAAAGGGTGGGTGGGCGGGGCTAGCACTTGCCAAGTTGAGACTGATTTTGGCAAATGATATGTACTGTAAAAATAAAGGGGGATGGGCGGGGTTAACACTTGCTAAGCCCTGACACCCTTTATTTTTTTTAGAGAATATCATTTGCCAAAATCAGTCGTATCTTAACAAGTGCTAGCCCCGCCCACCCACCCTTTGTTTTCTTCGAGTGTATGTCTTCTGCCAAAATCCGTCTTATCTTAGCAAATACTGGCTCCGCCAGCTCGCCCTTTATATACCTAGAGGATGTAAGTTGGCAAAATCTTGGCATGTACCAATGAATCAGTTACCTTAATTGATAAATTATAATTAAAATGACCACCAAAGAAATCTGACCTGACCCCCCATGACCTGACAAAGCGATATTTATGCCCAGGCAGTCATTGGTAAGGCCTGAATCCCACGATCCAAATACGGCCCTGACCTTGTCATCGAAACGAATCGATCACACATCATCCCCAACGTGTTTTCCTCTTCAAATATACAAATCTCCAACAAACTATTCATACATACGGCGACTCCGCGATTTCCATGCATTAACCTGCCCATATTTTAAAATATACTGACAATTAAACATACACCGGTCACATCTCCCGCCGGTCATCAAACTTCCAACTAAATTGTAAGGTAATAAGTTGTTTACAGCGGCACGCGCCCTCTGCCGCCACCCAGCGGCACTTCCCCGTCGGAACCCTCCCGCGGTCCGCAAGCTCCCCGGAACCCCGGCGACCGTCACCGTCCTGGAAATTCAGCGTGACTCAGCCGACTTCTCCTAAGCCTGCGTCACGACCGCACTAATTTTAACCTGCGGCACCCGAGCCCAAAGCGGCACTTACCCGGAAGGGCGCTCCAAAGAGAAAGGTCCCCTGGTCGTCCACTTGCGAAGTCATCTGTGCCCTGGCCTGCCTCTCCCGCTCTCGCAGGCGGTCTCTCTCCACGCTGCAATGAAAACAAACAACACTCAACAAGTGCAATAAAACACAAGAGCACCGGCACACACAACAAACAAATGCCTGCCAACGAGCGCGGCACGGAGGGCGTACCTCCTACGTTTAGCTACATGCCGGCGGAGGGCCGCGGCGCTCGGTCGGCCTCTATCTAGCGAACGGCAGGGTTACGGTTTCGAGCGGACTGCCAAAAACTCGGTGTGTCAGAGACGGAGGCATGACGCGAGCGGCCGACGTCACATTCTCGTTAGCGGGAGGAAGGAGGAGCGAACGAGGCAGCGGCGGAGGCGCGGTACGACCGAGTACTGCGCGGCGGCGCACCGTCATATGGCGCCAACCGAAAAGTCATACGAATGATACATTGTTCAGAACCATTTATGTAGATAAGCCAATATACATAATAATAATAATAATAATATCACCATGTCTTTATCCATAAAAAAAATATTAAAATTTATTTAAAAGTTGTGACAATTGAAGCTTATTAAAGTCTATTAAACAAGAAAGGGAAGAAAAATAGAATAACAACTAAAATATGTTTATAAAACACTCTATACATGAAAATTTAATCTGATTTATACTTCAAAAAGACCATATCTTTCTCTACGTTTTTTTTTTCTGTGGACCCTGTCATTGCAACAATGAAAAGAGATTTTCTAACCTCAAAACGACTTAGATAACCAATTTCTTTGTACTCGGGCAAAGAGAACTTTTTCAGCCTCATCTGATTCAGATCGCCAAGAGTTCTTCTTTGTGGCCTTGATACACAAATAACTAGAGAGTGGATTTCTAGGTTTAATGCTTTTTGTGAAAAATGTAAGCACTTAAAAACTTTTTTATGTCTGTAACTATGATACAATTTGGAGTCATTTGACACATTTTTTTATGCTTATTTGCTTTTTTTTTCAATTTTATGCATATTAAAACTTATATGCTTATTTAATGCTTTTTTCGACGAATATGAGTTTTAATGGATATTTTGTTCAAATGCCGGCCTTGTCGAGATGACAAATACTTGTTAGTTAGCCGTATCGTAGCGTATGCATTTTACCTGGACTTGACCATTGAAGTACACTTACTCAAGACCCTTTCTGTGAATAGGTTCCGGTCGTTTGGGTAATAAAATTTTATTATAGGATTGGAAAAATACTCCATAGATTTTATGACTTTAAATCCTTACTTCCGTTGATAATGAATTAAAGCTTTTAACCAGATGTTCTTTTTCCGCATTTTGCGGCAAGACCGTTGAAGATTTTCTAGAAAAAAGGATTATTGTACCCAACTACCTACCTTAAAATTTTTCTAATGGAAACTTTTTAAGTAAATGAACCGTTTATTTCACAACCATCAGTCTATCGCATCTGTCGTAGTACAGTGTTATACGTGGTTCTCCCTTGTTACATGTTGAGTTCTTTTTGGTAATATTACTAATATTTTAAAAGAATGCCGAAAGTAAAATCGATGCCGGATGAGTGGATAAGGGATTTTCCAGAATTAAAATTAGAAAACAACAAAATATTCTGCAGAGCTTGTGTGAAAACCGTAAGCCCACTAATTTTTTTTTTATCTATTTTCCTTTGTTAATCCTGTATATGTACGTTGTTTTAGATTCAAAGTGATAAAATATATAACGTGACGCAACATGTCAGAACGACTCTTCATGTAGAAAGGAAGAAAATGTTTGAAGCTTTTAAAATTAAACAGCAGACCATACATGAATCTGTCGCATTTACTTCCACAAAAGATGAGCAGTTTCAGTTTAATTTCGATTTATGTAAAATGATCCAGTCCAATATACCTTTAAAAAATTGGAGAAAGGCCCTCTTCAAGAATTCCTTGAAAAACACTGCAATCGACATATTCCGGTTGAAAGTACTCTCCGAAAAAATTATGTAGGCCCAGTGTTTCAGCAAGTTTACAACGAAATTAAACATCGCATTGGAGATAATTATTTATGGTTCGCTGTCGATGAAACAACCGATAGTTTTGGAAGATACGTGGCAAGTTTAATTGTTGGACTCTTAAATGAAAATTTCCCTAGTCGAGGGTATGTAGTAAGTTTGAAAATTTTAGATAAAACAATACGATTTCCAGATTTGTAAATGACAGTCTTACGTCACTATTTTTGCCAATAAAATTTTATTGATGATCTCAGATGCAGCTCGTTATATGTTGAAAGCAGGGAATAATCTAAAAATATTGTACCCCAATTTAATTCACTCTACTTGCATTGCCCACGGTTTAAATAGAGTGGCTGAAGGAATACCTTTGCAGTTTCCTACTGTTAATAAATTAGTGGCAAATGGTAAAAAGATTTTTGTTAAAACCCCACTAAGAGTGCAACATTTTAAGGAAAAATTTCCAACCATACCACTGCCCCCAGAGCCGATTATAACGAGGTGGGGAACATGGTTACAGGCCACATTTTATTATGACAAATATATCAAAGAATTTGAGGAAGTAGTTACGGAGTTTAGCGAAGATTCTTCTCAATCGATTAAAGATTGCATAAATATTTTGGAAAACAAAGATTTGCGACAAGATCTAGCTTTTCTAAGAAGCAATTATCAATTCGTATGTGAGATAATAGAAAAGTTAGAAAAACCCAACATGTTGTTGGTAGATGCCATAAACTTAGTGAAAGAATTTAAACAACAAGCAAACGCAGTAAGGAGTGATATTGGTACTAGAGTATCTCAAAAACTTGACGAAGTGTTAAATAAAAATGCAGGTTTCGGTGTTCTTTCCGACGTTGCTCGTGTTTTACAAGGCCAGGAGGTGGAAAATTTGGAGTTAGATTCAACATTAGTTGCAAAATTCAAATTTGCGCCAAAAACGAGGGTGGATGTTGAACGCACATTCTCCAATTTTAAACACATTTTAAATGATCGGCGAAAAAATTTTACAGTGGACAACTTGGAACATATTACAATCATAAATTGTTTTAAAGAAAACTGAAATACGTGTGTAAAATATAAAGTCTAGGATTATTGTAATAATATTTTATCCAAAGTTCTAAGATTTGTAATATGATTATGTTTCTAATGCTTTTTTGCTTAAAATAAAACTTTTTTATTGAAAATGTTGTGCTTATTTAAGCGCTTATTCTTAACTTTTTTGTGCTTATAAATCCGCTCTCTACAAATAACTATGAGAGTATGGTCCTGCATCATTTTCTGTATTTATTGTTAAGGAACTTTCATTATATTATCAAGTGTTTCTACCCGAAAATGTTAAATAAATGTTAAAAATTAAACTAACTTGAGGAGTACAAGTGTAGTAAACACATGTGAATTGATAAGTCACCCCTCTTTTTTCTTAGAGTGTTCGTTTGCCAAAAGTAGTTTCACGTTGACAAGTATGTACTAGCCCCGCCCACCCGCCCTTTATTTTCTTAGGGTGTATGTCATCTGCCAAAGTCCGTCATATCTGAGCAAATACTAAGTCCACTCTTTATTTTCTTAGAGAATATATAATTTGCCAAAATCAGTCTATCTAAGCAAGCACCAGTGTTTCAACCTCAAAATGCTAAATAAACGTTTTCATTTGAGAGATTTTTAAAATACCAGCAATTCTTCAAGCATTTTTTTTTAACTTGCGAAGCGAAACAATTTTTTAGTTCGTGAAAATAGTAAAAATTAATAGTTACCCATTTTAAAAAAATCGAATTTCTCTGGGGTCCGTCAAGGGTTCTGCTTGCCCCCGCGTCTTTTACACTCTTTCCGAGTGATATTTTTCACCAAACTTTTCCCCTAATTTTCTCGGTGACGTGCCGTCGCTGCTCGCAGGCCCCGCTCGCGTGACACATCTTACACAACTGATAACGAACGCCAATGTTTTCGACAACAAATCATAACAGATACAGCATCGCCGAGATAACGCATGAACTGGGAGCGTTAGCTGCGGATGGCATAATTCACGCGGTTAAACGAGAATGCCTTGGGGCATTGCGTTACGACCCGACCGGACGTCAAAGTTCGTGTCGATTTTGGGGGAAAACGCGGCTAAATCGATGCCAGCGCCGCCGATTCCATTGACCGTCGTTTCAATTATTAACGAATCGATTAATTTATGATGATGCACTTGCATAAATGCATGCCGGTTTATTATTATGAAGGATGCATCCATTAATTTCCATTCTTTCCGGTTTATTTTTAAAGCGACCAATAGGAGTTCCGGGACGGGGTTCGTTTATTATTTAGAAGGCATTACGTGTTATCAGCGGCTGGAAAAACGTCGATAGTTAATTGGTTGACGTATTTTTTTCGGGAGAGATCAGTCGGAAATAGCGCGAAAGAGGGGGGAGCCAAGCGAGGCCCTTGAGGTACAACGAGAATTAAAATTGTACGTGTAGTCAGACGCGTTCAACGACAACGCACGATTTATTAGTTCTGGTCCGGTGCCACTCTAATTTCTTGTTTGTTCCTGGGGCGTAAAACTTTCGTCGTTTCGATTTCACCGAAGATTAAACCCTGATTGATTATTCAACACCTCTTGGATACTTCAAAGAAAATAAAAATTCACCCCTAAATCGCTTTCGAACGTGCGCGCCACATGTGCCACATGAAAAAGAAGTGCTTAAATTCCACTCGAGTGGCACGTGCAGGAGCGTACTCGCCCACAACAAGAAAACTCTATTTGATTTTACAAATAAACCTGTAATCAGTTTGTTTGCGGCGACGTTTCGCGGACGGTCCGTCCACCTTCAGGACGCTGAACCGTTACAGACTCCGAAAGGGGAAACTCGTGGATTGAATCGTTAAGTGCGCCCTCGACAGACGGGCCTGCATGTGTCGAACAGATGTCTAAGGTGAACACACCTGCCGCCAGACGTCTAGGCTCGAACGCGACACCACGGGGAGAAATAATCCTTGATTAGTCTAGAGCGACCGACAGCGTAGCTGGGCGAAATTTGCGAGTGAATGCGACGTCTTAAATTAATTACCCACTTCGTGCAGAAAAGCGGGCGAAAAATGGAGCGGAGAACACGCT